GACCCATACTCGTGAAGAATTACGAAAACACAGAGCATTTTGCAGCAAATTATATAATCATGTAAATAGTAAACTAATAATAAACAGTAAACTGATAACAGTAAAATGTATTTAAAATTTGTAATGTCTCATATCTTCATGGCACTACAAAGGTATTTTAAAAATTAAAAGCAGAAGCTTGAAATGTGTACAGTACTCCTTTTATTTGCTTCTGAATATGATTATGCCAATATACTCTTTGAATCAGAGAATTTTTTGACCTAAATAGGTTTAATCCTCTTCTCCTACTTCATATACAAGGAAACAGGCTTTTAGAGAAGAAAAGGTTTTTTTTCCTCACCCATTGCTAAGTTTGTGGTTGAGGCCCCTATTTAAAAAAAGAGGTTAACGAGAAAAATGTCACAAATATTTATTTACTATAAAGTTTATGTGACATGGAAGACTTCATAAAGAAATAAAGATCCAAAGAACAGGTAAACCTATGTGTATTGTATGCTAGGTTTGATAGAGACGTGGATAGTCATGGAGAGGTATGATTGGACTAAGTGGCTAGCAAGGCAGGTTTGTACACATTCTTCTCTGTGTCCCTGGGTCTTCACAGACAAGGATGTTTGTTATCTCCAGGGACAGGAATGGTACTTCTAAGATGTGGTTCTTATGACTTTGCTTCAGGGATGGAGGGTGGGAGAAGGTCAGAGAGTAACTTTCCTGCTTCTGCTATTTTGAGGCAATATATCCTGAACCCCATCACTTGTAAGTTTTTGCCTTATTCAGGGACTTCTATCCTCTTTCTTTTGCATTCTTTTTTATGAAACATAATCATGGCAGAAATATATCTGTGAAGCTGTGGGTTTCACCTTAGTCACGTTTGTCTCCATGGGCACGAGTCACAAAGCGCCTCAAAACCATGTTAACATTTAAGATTGATCTGCTTTTCTGCTTCTGAATGTGAGAGCCTATACTGGATCTCTGAAGAAAACAAAGATGAGATGAGGTCCTTTGGACTTCATGAAGTGACATGACAGAAAGTATGATTGTCCAGCTGATACTTTACTGTGTGAAACCATCATCTGCTACTCCTGAATCCTGAAGGACAGACTCAGGGGCCCTCTGACTCATGGTAAGGGTTGTCAGGGTGATGCAACAGCAGGACCATAGGGTTTGTTGTCAGAATAACAAGTTTTGAAGCTCGGTTTCCCCACTCACTAATTTTTAATGAGCACATACATAGTTTAAAATCTGAAAATGGGGATGATAATAATTTCTACCTACTTCTAAAATTTGGTTTGAGAATCAAGTGGAATATTAATATATACATAAACATTTTATGAACAAGGAGACAAGTTATAAATTCATTATCTTGTTAATTTAATCATTTCACTAGGGGTGGGTTCATTGTGGGCCTCCTTTGAGGTAGACTGTGTTTCATGAATTTATAACAAAATCCTAAAGTTTAACCAAGACAGTATGTGGAAAAATTATCTTTTGATGTCTTTATGTTTTGTGTCCCCTTTTTTGCAGTAACAACACAGATATAAGAAAAAAGGGTTTGAGTCTGTTTATAGTATTAATCAGATTCCCACTCTCATTCATATTGAGATTTTAAATCCTTTTCTTACACACCTAAAGGAAAGTGTATCTGACCCAGTGGTTTTTCCTTTATGCTGTCACTTTATTTAGTATGCCTTGTTAGCATCAAATAGTAAGGTATTTTATTTGGGTTTTCTCTTATAGTACCAGAAAATGCAATCTTGCTAGATGAAATTGGTTTCAATGCTAAAAAATAAATATTTATCTTCTTAAAAATAAATATTCACACTTTGATATAACATTCATTTTCCAGACATGTACACTTGCTCAGAGATAATATTGTATCAGAAGATTTAGGAAAATAATTTATTGAGAATATATAGAATCATCAAATATTTTTTAATTTTTAAAAATTGGTGTGTTTTTTTTTGCTTTTTAACCTTTTCATTTATATATAATAATTTACATATTTATGGGATACATTGAGTGTTAAATTCACAGCATGAGTAATGATTAAGTCAGGGTATTTGGAGTATTAATCACCTTGAGTGTTCATCATTTTCACATGTTAGTATCATTTCAAGTCCTCTCCTCTAGTTATTTTGAAATATACATATTATTGCCTAGTCACCCTAGCCTGTTATCAATTATTATAACTTATTTATCTTATCTAACTGTATATTTGTATCAATAATCAACATATCTTCATTTCCCCCAGCCCTTTTTCCCAGTTTGTTATTGTTTTACCCTGCATGTCTACGAAATCAAGTATTTTAGCTCCTACCTATGAGTAAGAGCATGCTGTATTTGTCTTTCTGTGCCTGGCTTATTTCATTTAACATAATGACCTTCAGTTCAATGCATGTTGCTGCAAATGACATGATCTTATTATTTTCTATGGCTGAATAATATTTCACGGTATACATACAACATATTTTCTTTATCCATTTGTCCATTGATGAGCACTTAGGCTGATTCCGTATCTTTGCTATAGTGAATACTGCTATGATAAACATGCAAGTACAGCTAGTGCTTGACTTACGACCACGATTGGTTCCGACAGACTGGTCGTAACATGATTTGGTTGTAAGTTGAGTAGGCTATATGTACAGTACTGTGAAATGATGTTATAAAAATCTTTAAGTCATATTTTATCATAATTTTCTTTCTCACCCACTTATGAGTGAGAACATGTGCTGTTTGGTTTTCTGTTCTTGTGTCAGTTTGCTGAGAATGATGGTTTGCAAAGGTCCATGTCACTGCAAAGGTCATAAACTCATCCATTTTGGGGGGCTGCATAGTATTCCATTGTATATATGTGCCACAATTCTTTATCCAGTCTATCATTGATGAGCATTTGGGTTGATTCCACTGCTATTGTAAACAGTGCTGCAATGAGAATACGTGTGCATGTATCTTTATAATAGGATGATTTATAATCCTTTGAGTATATACCCAGTAATAGGATTACTGAGTTAAATGGTATTTCTATTTCTAGATCCTTGAGGAATTGCCACACTTTCTTCCACAATGGTTGAACTAATTTACACTCCCACCAACAGTGTAAAAGCATTGCTATTTCTCCACATCCTCTCCAGCATCTGTTTTCTCCAGATTTTTTAATGATCGCCATTTTAACTGGCATGAGATGGTATCTTATAGTGGTTTTGATTGGCATTTCTCTAATGACCAGTGATGATCAGCATTTTTTCATATGTTCATTGGTCACATAAATGTCTTCTTTTGAGAAGTGTCTGTTCATATCCTTTGCTCACTTTTTGAAAGGGTTGTTTTTTCCTTGTAAATTTGTTTAAGTTCTTTGTAGATTCTGGATATTAGCCCTTTGTCAGATGGGTAGGTTGCAAAAATTTTTCCCATTCTGTTTGTTGCTGGTTCACTTGAATGATTGTTTCTTTTGCTGTGCAAAAGCTCTTAAGTTTAATTAGATCCCATTCATCTATCTTGGCTTTTGTTGCCATTGCTTTTGGTGTTTCAGTCATGAAGTCCTTGCCTATGCCTGTGTCCTGAATGGTATTGCCTAGGTTTTCTTCTAGGGTTTTTATGGTGTTAGGTCTTATGTTTAAATCTTTAATCCATCTGGAGTTAATTACTCTGTTCATTATTTCTTTTGCAGTGCAGAAGCTTGTTAGTTTAATGTAGTCCTGCTTATCATTTTTGTTTTTGTTGCCTGTTCTTTCAAGGTCTGAACCATAAAATCTTTGCCTAGATCAATGTTCTGAAGAGTTTTTCCTATATTTTCTCCTAGCAAGTTTATACTTTTGGGTCTTACATTTAAATCTTCAATCCATCTTGATTGATTTTTGTATAAGGAGAAAGACAAAGGTCCAGTTTTGTTCTTCTACATATGCTTATCAAGTTATCTTATCACCATTTATTGAAAAGGGTAACCTTTCCCCAATATATATTCTTGGTAGCTTTGTCAAAGATCATCTGGTTGTAGATATTTGGCTTTATACCTGCATTCTGTATTTTGTTCCATTGGTCTATGTGTTCATTTTTATACGAATACCAAGTGGTTTTGGTTATTTGTAATATGTTTTGAAATCAGGTAATGTGATGATTCCAGGTTTGTTCTTTTGGCTTTGGGTTGTTTTGGCTTTTCAGGCTCTTTTTGGGTCTTATACCAATTTTAAAATTGTTTTTTCTATTTCTTTGCAAAATAATGTTGGTATTTTGATGGGGATTGCATTGGATGAGTAGATTGCTTTGGGTAATATGGGCATTTTAAACAGCACTCCTCAACCATTTTGGCACCAGCGATCAGTTTTGTGGAAGACAATTTTTCCACAGACTAGGGTCAGGGGAGGGGGGATGGCTTCAGGATGAAACTGTTCCACCTCAGATCATCAGGCATTAGATTCTCATAAGAAGCATACAATCTAGATCCCTTGCATGTGCAGTTCATTCTTCTTGTTCATGCTCCTATGAGAATCTAATGCTGCCACTGATCTGACAGGAGGTGGAGCTCAAGCAGTAATACCTGCTCACCTGTGGCTTACCTCCTGCTGTGTGGTCTGTGTGCCTTGGTTCCTAACAGACCACAGACCAGTACTAGGGGTTGAGGACCCCTGATTTCAACAATACTAACTTTTACAAATCATGAGAATGAAATGTCTTTCCATTTGTTGATGACTTTGCTGTTTCTTTCATGAGTGTTTTGTAGTTTTCCTTGTAGCTATCTTTTAGCTCTGATTAAATTTTTTCTAGGTGTTTTCTTTTCATTTTCTTTTTCTTTTCTTCTTTTTTTTTATAGTTATTGTGAATGGGTTTGTCTTGATTTCTTTTTCAGCTATATTATTATTGGTACGTAGAAATGCTACATATTTTTGTATGTTGATTTAGCATCCTGCAACCTTACTAAACCTGTGAATAAGTTCTGAGAGTTTTTTGGAGTCATTTTTTGTTTTTTCTAGATATAAGATTATGTCATCTGCAAAGAACAATTTGACTTTTTCTTTTCCAATTTGTGTGCTTTTTATTTCTTTTTCTTATCTGGTTACTTGAGCTAGGACTTCCAACACTCTGTTGAATAGGAGTGATGAAAATGGGCATTCTAGTCTTCTAATGCAAGAGAAAAGCTTTCAACTTTTTCCATTCAGTATGATATTAGCTGTGGAGTTGTCATATATGGCCTTTTAAATTTTAATTTTGAGTTAAGGTCCCTCTATGTCCAGTTTGTTGATAGTTTGTTTTTATCATAAACGGTGTTGACTGTTGTCAAATGATTTTTCTGCATCTATTGAGATGGTTTTTGTTCTTCATTCTGTTGTTATGTCACCTTTGATTTGCATATGTTGAATCATCCTTGCATCTCTGAAATAAATACATTTGATAATGGTATATTATCTTCTTGATGAACTGTTGGATTTGGTTTGCTTGCATTGGTGAAGATTTTTGCATCTGTGTTCAACAGGGATGTTAGACTGTAGCTTTCTTCTTTTGTTGTTGTGTCCTTGTCTGATTTTGGTGTCAAGGTAATCCTAGCCTCATAGATGAATTAATGAGAATTCTCTCCTCTTCAATGTTTTAAAATAGTTTGAAGAGCGTTGGTGTTAGTTCTTCTTTATACATTTGATAGAATTCCACATTGAATCAATTCAGTCCTAGGCATTTATTTGATGGGAGACTTTTTATTACTGATTCAATCTTGCTACTCATTATTGGTCAGTTCAGGTTTTCTATTTCATTCTGATTTAATCTTAATAGGTTGTATGTTTCTAGAAGTTTATCAGTTTTCTCTAGGTCTTCAAGTTTCTTAACGTGCAGTTGTTCATAGTAGCCTGAATGTCTTCTTGTAGAGCAGCTGTAATGTCTCTTTTTCATTTCTGATTTTGTTTATTTTGGATCTTTTCTTGGTTAGTGTAGGTGTATTAACCTGTTTTCACACTGCTGATAAAGACATAATTGAGACTGGGTAATTTATGAAAAAAAAAGTTTCATGGACCCACAGTTCCATGTGGCTGGGGAGCCCTCACAATCATGGTTGAAGGTGAAAGGAACATCTTACATAGCAGCAGGAAAGAGAAAAATGAGAGCCAAGTGAAAGAGGAAACCCCTTATAAAACCACCAGATCATGTGAGACTTATTCACTATCTCAGAAACATTATGGGAGAAACTGCCCTCATGATTTAATTATCTGTCACCGGGTCCTTCCCACAACACTTGGGAATTATGGGAGCTATAATTCAGGATGAGATTTGGGTGGGAACACAGCCAAGCCATATTATTCCTCCCCTGGCCCCTCCCAAATCTCATGTCCTCACATTTCAAAACCAATCATGCCTTCACAGCAGTCCCCCAAAACATTATTTCAGCATGAACTCAAAAGTTCACCGTCCAAAGTCTCATCTGAGACAAGGCAAGTCCTTTCCACCTATGAGCCTACAAAATAAAACACAAGTTAGTTACTTCTTTTTTTTTTCCACCATTTATTTATTTTAGTGCATTTTAGGTTTTGGGGTACATGTGAAGAACATGCCAAATTGTTGCATAGGTACACACGTGGCAGTGTGATTTGCTGCCTTCCTCTACTTCTTAGATATAATATGGGTAAAAGCATTGGATAAATACACCCATTCCAAATGGAGAAATTGGCCAAAATGAAGGGGCTACAGACCCCATGCAAGTCTGAAATCCAGAGTGCAGTCAAATCTTAAAGCTCCAGAATGATCTCCTTTGACTCCACATCTCACATTCAGGTCACACTGATGCAAGAGGTGGGTTCCCATGGCCTTGGGCATCTCTGCTGCTGTGGCTTTGCAGGGCATAGTGCCCCTTCTGCCTGCTTTCACAGGCTGATGTTGAGTGTCTGTGGCTTTCACAGGTGCCCAGTGCAAGCTGTCAGTGGATCTACCACTCTGGGGTCTGGAGGATGGTGGCCCTCTTCTCACAGCTCCACTAGGCAGTGCCCTAGTGGGGACTTTGTGTGGAGACTTGCACTCCACATTTTCTTTTCACACTGACCTAGCAGAGGTTCTCCATGAGGGCTCTGCCTCTGTAGCACACCTCTGTCTGGACATCCAGGTGTTTCCATATATCTGAAATCTAGGTGGAGGTTCCCAAGCCTCAGTTCTTGACTTCTGGGCACCCACAGGCTCAACACCATGTGGAAGCTGCCAAGGCTTGGGGCTTGCACCTTTTGGACCCACAGCCTGAGTTGTACCTTGGCCCCTTTTAGTGATAGCTGGAGCAGCTGGGATGTAGGGCACCAAGCCCCTAGGCTGCACACAGCCGGGGTGCCCAGATCCTGGCCCACAAAACCATTTCTCCTCCTAGGCTCCCAGGCCTGTGATGGGAGGGGCTGCCACAAAGGTCTCTGGCATGCCCTGGAAACATATTCCTCATTGTCTTTGTGATTAACATTGGGCTTCTTGTTACTTATACAACTTTCTGCAGCAGGCTTGTATTTCTCCCATTTTTTTTTCTATTGCATTGTCAAACTGCAAATTTTTCAAACTTTTATGTTCTCCTTCCTCTTGAACACTTTGCCTCTTAGAAATTTCTTCTGCCAGACACCCTAAGCCATCTCCCTCAAGTTCAAAGTTCCACAGATCCCTTGGGCAGAGGCAAAATGCTGCCATTCCTTTTGCTAAAACATAGCAAGAGTCACTTTTACTCTAGTTCCCATCAAGTTTCTCATTTTCATCTGAGACCACTTTAGCCTGGATTTCATTGTCCGTATCATTATCAGTATTTTGGTCAAAGCCATTCAAAAACTCTCTAGGAAGTTCCAAACTTTCCCACATTTTCCTCGCTTTTTCTGAGCCCTCCAAACTATTCCAACCTTTGCCTATTACTCAGTTACAAAGTCGCATCCACATTTTTGAGGACTTTTATGGCAGTGCCCCACTGTTTGGTACAAATTTACTGTATTAGTCATTTTTCATGCTGCTGATAAAGACATACCCAAGACTGGGTAATTTATAAAGAAAATAGGTTTATAAAGAAAAGAGGCTGGGGAGGCCTTACACTCATGGTGGAAGACGAAAGACATGAAAGATACCTCTTACATGGTGGCAGGCAAGAGAAAAATGAGAGCCAAGTGAAAGGAGAAACCCCTTATAAAACCATGAAACCTTGAGACTTATTCACTAACATGAGAAGAGTATGGTGGGAACTGCTCCCATGATTCAATTATCTCCCAGTGAGTTCCTCCCACAACACATGGGGATTATGGGAGCTACAATTCAAGATAATATTTGGGTGGGGACACACTCATCTTGAATTGTAGCTCCCATAATCCCCAAGTCTTATAGTAGGGACCCAGTAGGAGGTAATTGAACCGTGGGGTAGTTTTATAAGAGGTTTTTCCCCCTTTTGCTTGACACTTCTTCCTGCCACCATGTGAGGAAGGATTTGTTTGCTTCCTCTTCTACCATGATTATAAATTTCCTTAGGCCTCATCAGCCATGCTGAACTATGAGTCAATTAAACCTCTTTACTTTATAAATTATTCAGTTGCAGGTAGGTCTTTATTAGCAGTGTAAGAACAGACTAATACAGTGGTTAATCAATTTTGTTTATCTTTTTGAAGAAGCAACTTTTTATTTTATTGATTCTTTATATTAATTTTTAGTTTCCATTTCAGTTAATTCTGCTCTGATCTTTATTGTTTCTTTTGCTAATTTGGGCTTTGGTTTGTTCTTAATTTTCCAGTTCCTTGAAGTGGAACTAGATTATTTTACATTAGATTATTTGAAATCTTTCTCTCTCTTTTTTTTTTTTTAATTTAGGGGCTTATTTCTATAAACTTCTTCCTTAGTACTGCTTTTGCTGTGTCCCACATGTTTTGATGTTATGTTTCCATTTTCATTTATCTCAAGATTTTTTTTTCAATGTTACTTATTGACTCAATAGTTTTCAGGAGCAAAGTTGTTTAATTTCCATTTATTTGTATACTTTCCAAAGTTCCTCTTGGTGTTGACTTCTAGTTTTATTTGATTGTGGTCTGAGAAGATACTTGATATGATTTTTACATTTTTACATTTGTTGAGATTTGTTTTGTAGGCTAATATAGGTCTTAGAGAATGTTCCATGAGCTGATGTGAAGAATATGTATTCTGCCATTGTTGGGTAGAATATTCTGTAAATGTCTATTAAGCCCATTTGATCTAAAGTCCAGCTTAAATCCAATGTTTCTTTGTTCATTTTCTGTCTAGATGATTTGTCTAAAGCTGAGAGTAGGGTGTTGAAGTTTCTCATTATTACTGTATTGCAGTCTATTTCTCTCTTTAGATTTAGTAATATTTGCTTTATTAATCTGGGTGTTCCAGTGTTGGGGGCATATATATATTTAGAATTGTTATATCCCCTTGCTACTCTAGTCTCTTTATCATGTAATGACCTTCATTGTCATGTTTTTGTTTTCATTTTTTACTGTTTTTTGACAGAAAGCCTGTTTTATCTGATATAAATATAGCTACTCCTGCTTACTTTTGATTTCTATTTTCATGGACTATCTCTTTTCATCCCTTTACTTTTCATCTCTATGTGTTTTTACAGGTAATGTGCATTTCTTGTAGGCAGTGTATAACTGGATGTTTGTTTTTTTAAAAATTCATTCATCCAGTCTATGTCTTTTAAATAGATAATATAATTCATTTACATTCAGGGTTATTATTGATATGCAAGAGTTGTTTTCTGTTATATTTCTATCATATTATTATTTTCTGCTTGTTTTTAATAGTCTTCATTTCTTTTTCTTTTTCTTTTTCCTCTTATCAATATTCCTTGTGTTTTAGTGATTTTCTGTCATGGTACCATTTGGGTCTCCTGTCTTTCTCACTTGTTTGTTGGCTTTACCAATGAGTTTTATATTTTTATGTGCTTTCATGATGGAAACTGTCATCCCTTTGCTTCAAGGTTTGTAACTCCTATGAGCATTTCTTGTACGGTCAGCCTAGTGGTGATGAATTCCTTCAGCATTTGCTTATTGGGAATAGATCTCTCCTTCATTTATGAA